TCTCAGCGAATCGATTTTTATCTCCTCAATCCTCGCAAAACGCCATCCTTTCATGGGTCTCTTCAATCTTGGGAACAGGAAAAAGTCGCAGGGGGCCAAATCTGCTGAATACGGTGGCTGAGGCATGATAATATTGTTTTTTGGCCATAAAATTACGAACAAGCAATGACGAGTGAGCAGGTGCATTATCGTCATACAAAATTTATGAATTGTTTTTCCACAATACCGGACGTTTTCTTCGTATTCTTTGTCGCAAGCGATGCATAACTTCAAGATAATACCCCTTATTGACCATTCGACCATGTGGCAAGAACTCCTGATGCACTACGCTACAGTAATCGAAGAAACAGTAAGCAAAACCTTGACATTTAATCGAACTTGGCGTACTTTTTTTGGTCTTGGTTCCATTGGGCTCTTCCTTTGGGACGATTGAACTTTGATTTCCATGTCATAACCATACACCCATGATTAGTCATCAGTTATGACCCTTTTAAGCAAATCTGGATCGCCGTTGACGTCATTCAAAAATTCCTGAGCGATGATAATGCGACGGTTTTTTTGGTCAAAATTCAGCAATTTTGGAACGAAATTCGCTGTCACACGCTTCATGCCCAAAATTTCGGAAAAAAATGCGTGGCGCGAGCCAACCAATATTCCTCAGCAACTTATATAATAGTGATTTGACGATTTTCCATCATTACAGTTTTCTTCACATTATCATCGATTGTTGGTGTCCTGGGGCATTCAGGACGAGCATCGTCATTCATCTCGATCTTTTGTGAAAGGCTTGTACGACTTGGGAACATTTTTCTGATTCAGAGTGCAATCACCGTATGTCACTGTCAACATTTAAGTGTTTTTGAGCCAGAGGTTCAAAATTCAATTCATCAAATATTTTGTTTGTAAATGAAACTAAGTTGACTACAAATCGTGCGATATCATTGCATAATTGTAGATGGTGGTCAAATGAAAATCCAAAGTCATATAACAAAAACCAATATTTTTGGGAACATTTTTCTGATTCAGAGTACAATCACCGTATGTCACTGTCAGCATTTAAGTGTTTTTGAGCCAGAGGTTCAAAATTCAATTTATCAAATATTTTGTTTGTAAATGAAACTAATTTGACTACAAATCATGCGATATCATTCCATAATTGTAGATGGTGGTCAAATTGGTAGTGTATAAGGATAATATATTACAAAAACTTTACAAGTTGTGGTTACAACATGATAGATGCGAGATACCCTACCATTTCATGATGTTTCACAATCGCTGAATGAAATACTTGGTAATAAATTGTTAGGACGATCTTCTGATTCATGATGTCTTTCTCTTTACCCAGACCCTACATAGCTGTTTCTAATGGGTACATTTGAAAAAAAATTATTAAAAATATTTATACGGTTATATTGCTGACCCGACCGTTTATCAATTTATGAGTCTCAGCAGCCGAGTCCTGACGATAGAAATTTTACCTTGAGGTAACTATGTTGAATTCAATGATGAAAAATGGATATCAATTCTTTTGAAAAAATTGTTACAGTTCAAATTGAGTATTGTTGCTCACAATCACGTTGTTGATGGAATAACAAAGACAGCTTCGTAAATGCGTAATCCATACCCTGAGGAGATGGGTATCTACTGCAATACAAAATTAACAATAATTATCAGTTGAGCTTTTATGCAATGTATTAATCGAATATTTACTTGCAATAAAATCGTCACAATGTGCTTTCTTGATAATTTTCTTATACTGAGTTCAAAATTGGTATAACTTGATAGGTTCCATAATCTCTCAAATACGCACAAAAACTGGAAAATTGACGAATTGAACTCCAACACATATTAATACAGTTTATTGTATGATTTTCACTATAAAGGGTTTTACAAAAATCGCGACACGTGTTTCTCTATACAATAGCTTCCTCAAGCATAAACAGTTTATGCTTGAGGAAGCTGTTATATAGCGAAACGCGTGTCGCGGTTTTTGTAAAACCCTTAATAGTGAAAATCATACAATAATCTGTATTAATTAGTTTTTTTAATATGGATTTTCAACAAGTATCGGCCAGTTCTATTCAATTTTCCAACACATATGTAAGCTCTACTCTGACAGCTGTTCGCGTCTTCGTTTACATTGACTTTAGTTTTTTTGTTTTTCCTAGATTTTCTAACGGCCCGAACATCTCATGTATTTGCCTATCGATTTTTATGAGAAAATTGTTTTACATATACTAATATACCTAAGTATAGTTAATCAAAGTTTCAGCCAAACAGCTGAACAGTATTTCTATTTTTTTTTTCAACCAATGTTTGAAGTGATATGCCTAACTTCTTTATTTATGAACTGATTGAAGGTAATCAAACATTAAGTGTTATTTGAGGATTCCACAAAGCTATAATTAAAACTGCACCCAAATCGGTTGTCATTTTTGATATTAGCGCGCATGAACGTACAGACAAAAATCCTAAAAATAATTATTATGAGTTCTATTGCGTTATAAAATCTGAATTACTTTTTCTTTAGCTTTTGTCACTTTTAATTATGGTCTTCCATTTACAGATGATTTGATTTTATTTTAAAACCATGTGTATTAAGAACATCAAATTCATGGAAATATGTTTTATCACCATGGAATAATTTCTAGTAAACATGAAGGTATATCGTCACTGATAATTATTATTTAAAAAAACACCCCTATAATGAGTTGAATTCCTTCGGAGATAATGGTAAAGGATTAAACAGGTACCTGCGAATAGTGAATAAAACGATATCACTAGAATTGACTATTGCATAAACAAAAGTAGAAAATATCCCAAATATCTAATGTCTCTTCTTATATATGGAATATACAGAAGAGACCTCGAGATCTCTTGAAGCTCGAGGGAATATTAAAAGAGGCATATTAGTGGTTTCAAACTATTGGTATCAGGAGATCACATCTAAGTGTGAAAAATACAGCAATCATAAAATAAAGTATACGCAAGAAATTGAAAGAATATACTTACGTGCTCTTATCAGCTGGCAGTGTGTCAATAATTTCATTGGGAATAAATAGTGAAATTGGTGAAAATATAAAACACCTCATAGATAAGAAGATCCACGTATGCCAACTCAAACCTTGACGAATGGCCTGTCACTTTGAATAGTAACAAAATACAAAATATTTGTGCTTTATCGTTATTATCATCTGAAACGGTTTCGTCATAAAAGAAAATATCACATAAGTAATCAGTATCAATATTAAAGTACATGTAAGAAAATTGTAACTAATCGCTGTATGTATTATTTGTTTGTCTGTGCGTTTGTACACGCTAATCTCGAAAAAAACATTAACCCGTTAGGTTGCGGTTTTCATTAATGGCTGCGGTAGGTTCTACCTAACATTGAATGTTTGATTTACTCAAATCAGTTCGTAAATGAAAAAGTTATGACAATTTGAAAAGTCATGTCGACGATTTGTTGGAAAAAACACTATTCGACTGAATAAACTGTTCGATTGATTTGGTTGATACGTTGTTTAACTATACCTATACAGTTCATTCAAAGTTATACATGATAACTTTCTGCTGTTGCCTGCGACTTCGATAGTGTGGACTTCAGTTAATAGGTGTTTTGAGAAGATTTCTTCTTCCAGTTTTGTGTCTGAAAGTTACTTCTTTGCATAATCTACATATTTCTGTAAAGAGTTTATTCTGCANTTACGGTTGGATGAAAAAACAATCTCTGTGATGATTTATCATACGCAGGTCTTGAATCCTGCCATTTGATTGGTTGTAATTGTATGTATAATATATGTATTAAAGCTATTATTATTAATAATATTAATGTTTATTTGTAACGCACTGTTTGGAACTTTTAGTGTAGTGATGAATAATACCGGAGTTTCATTCCAACACCAAACGGTTTTTTTAACACCTCGACGCATGTATCAATCACCAAGTGATCATCTTCTAGAGGAAGATTATATAAACGAATCTTGAAGATGATCACTTGGTGATTGAAACACATGTCGAGGTGTTAAAAATAATGGTTTGGTGTTGAGGTAAAACTCCAGTAATATTAATTGTTCATTGATTATTTAAATTATAAGATAAGATTAAATCTCTTTCTCCTATATTTCCTTAAATTACGGTGCGGCAGTTTGTGTCTAGCGGGAAAAGTTTAATAGACGTCAGCAAATAAAAATGTTACGCCAGTTGAAAAAAAAACAGTTTGCGAACTGTGCTGCGGGAAACCATTATAGATACCTAGTGATAGCCAATAAGAAAGCTAACTTACCACTTAGCGATATAATGATATCGATAGTCTTGATTGCAGTTCGATGATAAATTAATACTTAGTTACCGGTAATGGCCTCCCCGTCGCGTCGTTGTAACATCCGTTAAAAGTATACGGGGTCGTCGACAAAAGTTCTTGGAAGTTTATCGGTTAAGTACAAATTAAAATGTTAACACTTTTAATTATAAATTATATTTGATCGCAATGTCAAAATCATATCAGATTCTACAAAATTTCACAGAATTTTGATAATAGGAACCACAGAACCACGCAATTACAATAATCGTAATGTCAAAACAGTTCATATGCAATACTTAAATATAAATTATTTATTTTTTTTGATTGACTCTGACAATACTAGATGAAGATTCATAGTAATTTCAGAAACTACACCTAACGATTTGATCTTCACAAACTTCATTTTCAAAAATATCACGACACGTTTCGCTATCACAGTAGTTTTTTCGTAGTGTATAACATACCCATGATACATCTCAATTATGATTACCTAAAGTATATTATTAATTCTACATCAATAATAATATATCTACGAAGACTTGAAACCGATGTTATCCGAGTCTTCGAATACTAACCAAGCATTTATACATAAATTTAAAAGAGTGGCCTCAAGTGTTATATTGTGTCTTTCTTTATTTGAGAATATAAGTATTATAAGTATTATCGATTCTTCATTGAATTCGTGTTTCTTTTCCAGGGGAGTATGTAATAAAAGGGGAGGCAAGCGTAGACCTTTCTTCTGGAGAGGACTGTGGCCCCTCGTGTGATTTACCACTTGGGGACCTTTCCTTACCCCTACCAGAGTTTTTGTTGGATGAAGCTTTGCAACTCGTTGATTTGGAAGATGAAGCGATTCAGGTATGTTATAAGTTAACTCATACGTATTCTTTCAACAAAATATTGGAAGAGTTCATTTGTAGTTTATTGTGCAATGAGTTTTATTATCCAAATTGTTAATTGAATTCGTATTTTTGTCAGAAACACACTCTCTGTCAACAGTTATTGCGTAATTCAAAAGTATGGCACATTTATTTAGCTCTTAATTATCGTTTTAGTTCAAAGTTTATGAAAAAAAAATANTTCGAAAACAATGGATGTGCACACATTTTAATCGATCAAACTGGGTGCACTCGGGATATTTGAATAAATTCACTAAACCTGTTCAACCGATTTGAAAAACAAATTAGTGGTTATAAGGTAATTATAATTTTTGGAAATTGATAATTTTGAGAAAGTTTCTTTCCTAAAATTTAAATTTTGACAAAAGTTTCTTGGGTTTGTATTACCGTTTCCTTTTTCTCGAAATAAACTCATACACCAAACCTACTCGATCAAAATGCGTGCAATCCTATCATTTTCAAAATTTTGATTTCAAGATGAAATTTGACCTAATTCGCACCCATTTCAACCAATTGAACTTGGTGCACTCGGGGTATAAGTCTGGTGATACAAAAATTCTGTAAAATACTTTGATCATACTCCATATAGAGTTTCTGAAAAACAGGTTCCCGTTCGTATTTTTGATTAATGATAGTAATTTCAAATTCTTAATCCATACTTCACTCAAACCGTGTCTCATATTTTTTTAAATTTTTGCAATCTTTGATAGATGTTAAATTGTATATCGATATAATCGAAAGAAAGTACCAGATATTGAGTTATCCTCTTTTTGAACAAGGTTTGATTTTCTCGTTATCATGAAATAAAATAACCCTACTTCATATTGAAGGAATACAATACATAATTGAGATGAGAAATAAAATTGTGAGTAATGGGCACTGCTGGAATGGAATACCACATGCATCATGGCATTGGTAAACTAGAAAATTTCGTATGTTTGTGGTTATACCGGGTGTCCCACATTTTATGTGACAGGCAATATCTGGTTTGTTGAAGGAGATACACAAAAATGTTTCATACAAAAGTTTTAGGAGTTCATGAGAGCTATATTTTGATATAATTTTTAAATATACAGGGTGTTTGGTGTAGGTGCTACAGACCAAAATTCCATTTTTTAAAATAGAACGCCCTGTATATCATTACATATTCAGATGCTACGTTAAATT